CGACATAGCCATTACGCTAACTGCTGGTCCCTTGATATCTCATTCTTGATTACTCTTATTCAAGGAACACATTTCCCACTTGGTAACATGAAGAGAGCGTAATTAAAACATCTCTTGAGCCATATCTATGCTTGTGCTTTTATGCAATGAAGTTGTTTTAACTGGTGAAGATGATGTTAAGGTGTTTTGGAAGGGTATGAAAATTGGGAATGAGAAAAAGTAAATTTTATATGCTTCTATGAAGAAAAAAATTGAAAGTAGTCAAACATTGGTTCAGTTCAATTAAATTCCAGCATTTAAAAAAATTTATATAAGGGGCCAGCAGGCGGTATGGTGAATGAGGCACTGGACACCCATATAGTCAACCATGGTTCAAGTCCCAGACCTGGAGGCCCAAAAATCACAAGAAAAAAAAATAGATAATAAATGATAAATGTTTTTAAAATTCTATGTAAGTGGGACCAGATGGCGTAATGGTTATGTCACTGGACTCCTATGTAGTTGACCGTGGCATGAGTCCTGGACCTGGTGGTTTAAACTTCACATCAGGTACATGTGTGTATCCAAGATCCCATGAGGAGAATGGAGGAGAAGGGACTGCAGTGTGGCCATCCTCCATGGGGGTGATTTCTTGTTTTCTGTCTTTCTATCTCTCTGGCAAGTGCATGAGCCCTATGGCAAAAATCTCTCTCCATATGCTCTTTGCTCCTATATCTTTTACCTCTTTTTCCTTTTTTTTCTTATAGCTTTATTGAGGTATAATAGGTGAACAGCAAACACAGTAAGTGTATGATGTGATAAGTTTAAACCCAGGAAACTATTACCACATTCAAGAAAATGAATATATCCATCACTCCCAAAATTTCCTGTTGCCCTCTGTGAACCCTCTCACCTACCCATTTCTACCTACCACCACTCCCATCTGCTGGCTGTCAATATATACAGATAAGTTTTCATTTTAAAGTTTTATGAAAATGAACTCATACAGTATGTACTCTACATCTGTTTTGTTTTTGTTTTTGTTTTTTACTCAGCACTTACGGATATATCTATGTTGTTGTATATATCAATAGTTCCTTCCATTTTGTTGAATAGCATTCCTTTGTATGGATATGTACCACAATCAGCTTATCCATCCTCCTACTGATGAACATTTGGCTTGTTTCCAATTTGACACTACTATAAAGTTTCTGTGAATGTTCATGTAAAAGTTTTTATATAGACATACAATTTCTTTTCTCAGGTTAATATTTCAGAATAGGATGGCTAGATCATGTTAGAAGTGTATGCTTAATATTTTAAGAAACTGTAAAACTTTCTCAAACTGGCTGTGCCATTTAACATTTCCAACAGCGCAGGGACCAGCAGTTAGCGTAATGGCTATGTCGTCGCTGGACATGTAGTCGACCATGTAGTCAACTGCGGTTCAAGTCCCAGACCCGGTGACTTAAACTCATACAGGGCACATGTGCATGCGTGCCCAAGATCCTGGGAAGAGAATGGAGGAGAAGGGATTGCAGCGTGGCCATCCCCCCGTGGGGTGATTTCTCACTTTCTATTTCTCTATCTCTCTCTGTCTTTCTGGTGAGCGCATGCACCCTATAGCAAAAACCTTTCCAAAAAAAAGAATATTTCCAACAGTGTAACGGTGTTAGTCCCTCCACATCCTATCCAACAGTTGCTGTACCAGTCTTTTTCATGTGACTCACTCTAATAGGTGCATAGTGGTGTCTCATTGTGGTTTTAATTTTCATTTCCCTAATGAATAATGACATTAAGCATCTGTCCATGTGCTTCTTACACACCCATGTATCTTCTTTGGTAAAGTCTACTTAAATGTGCTGGTGTTTTTGGTTGAGTTATTTTTACATTATTTGGGTTTGACAGTCTTTTTTATATTGTAGATGCATGTGCTTTAGCAGATACATGCTTTGAACATGTTTTCTCACAGTCTGTGGCTTTTTTCTTTTCTAATTATCTTTTTTTTTTCTTTTTTAAGCTTTTGCCATAAGGTACCTGTACTTGCCAGAAAGAGACAGAGAGGGAAGGTGAGAAATTACCCACTGGGGGGATGGTCACATCACAATCCTTTCTCCATTCTTCTCTCAGGATTTTGGGCACAAACACATTTGCCTGGTGTGATTTTCAAGAAATCTCTGCCTAACCAAGGTCACAGAAATTTTTATTTATGTTTCCTTCTTTAAGTTTTATAGTTTTAACTTTTATATTTAGGTTATGATTCAAATTTGAATTGAAGTTAATTTTGTTTATGGTTTAGGGTTTATATTGGTGCTTGTTTTGTTTTGCATGTAGAGATTCAATTGTTCCAACATCATTTGTTGAAAAGACTATATTTTCTCCTTTGAATGTCTCTGCATCTTTGTCAAAAATCATTTGTATCTATATCTATTTTTTGACTCTTCTATTTGCATTTTCTTATGACTTTATCATTGTCTTAAGTTGGGCTGTCATAATA